TCGCTCACAACTTTGAAGGGCCTGCCGTAGAGGTAGGGGCGAAATTTCGACGTAGCCCAGATGATGGCGAGGCACTCCTTTTCTGTTTTTGAATAATTGGCTTCTGCTTTGGGTAGCGATCGGCTGGCGTAACTGATAATCCTTTGAAGTCTGTCAGCCCTCTGCACAAGAACGGCACCAAGACATACGCTGCTTGCATCAGTGTGCATTTCTGTCTCGGCGAATCCGTCCAAATGTTCAAGTAACGGAGGCGTCTGGAGGTGAAGTTGAAGCTCCTGGAAAGCGTGTTCCTGCGGCATCTCTCACTTGAACTCCACATCGGCCTTGGTAAAGTTAGTGAGGGGATCGGCGATGTGGGTGAAGTTTTTAACGAACCGCCTCTAATAGGCACACAGGCCCAAAAATCAGCGCACCGCCTTCTTGTGAGTGGGCGGCGGGCAGTCGGCGATGGCGGCTGTTTTCCGAGGATAAGGACAAACTCCAGACTGAGTAATAACGTGCCCCAGAAACAAGAGCTCCTCGTACGCAAATCTGCACTTTTCTGGCTTCAGTGTGAGTCCGGACGCCTTGATGGCTTGAAGTACAGCTTCAAGGTGCCGAACATGCTCGTAGAAACTCGAGCAAAACACGACAACGTCGTCCAAGTACACAAGGCAAGTCTGCCACTTCAATCCTGCCAGTACTGTATCCATAACGCGTTGAAAAGTTGCAGGCGCTGAGCAAAGACCCAAGGGCATCATCTTAAACTCGAAAAGGCAGTCCGGTGTTATAAACGCCGTCTTCTCTCGGTCTCTTTCGTCGACTTCGGTTTGCCAATAGCCAGTTCTGAGGTCCATTGACGAAAAGTACTTGATGATATGGAGCCGATCAAGTGCGTCGTCTTTTCGTGGGAGAGGACACACGTCCTTTCTTGTGATTTTGTTCAGGTGGCGATAATCGACGCAGAAACGTAGGGTCCCATCCTTTTTCTTCACTAACCCCACGGGGGATGCTCCACGGACTCTTGCACGGCTGGATAATGTCATCACGCAGCATTTCATCAACTTGTCTCTTCACGGCCTCACGTTCTCGCGTCGAAACCTTGTACGGACTTTGACGGAGTGGTCTGGAATTTTCTTCGGTTATGATGCGATGTTTCGTAATTGGGGTTTGCCGAATTTTTGATGACGACGAAAAGCAATCTTCGTATTGCAGGAGCAGGGCCTTGAGCTGTTGTTGCTTCTGGTTCGGAAGTCTGGGATTGACGTCGAAAGCTATGGGAGGGGCTAGGTTCCTTTGAGCAGGTTCCGCAGAAACAGCGAGGGCGAAAGCACTGGTGCCTTCGACAAATTTTTCGATGTATGCGAGCATCGTTCTTTTGTTCACATGTTTGTACTCATTGCTGAAATTCGTGAGCGCAACTGTTGCTTCGCCTACCCGCACCTCTGCAATTCCTCTTGCGACGCAAATATTTCGAATGACCAAAAGATGCTGACTGCCTTCAACGACGCCTTCCAAGTCAGGTGATTTAGGAGCGCCGACTGAAATAATGACGCTTGAGCGAGGCGGAATGGTGACTTGTTCTTCCAGCACATTCAAGGCAATGTTTCCTGACGGCGTGCGCAGCGGTAGTGCTTCTTCTGTGGATAACGTTATCGACTTTGTTTTTAGGCTGATGACAGCACCATGAATCCATAAGAAGTCAATGCCAAGGATGACATCTCTCGAGAAACGCTGTAGGACTGCGAAATCTGTAGGATAAATACGGCCACTAATGGTGACTCTCGCTGCGCAGATTCCTGCAGGCGTTACGAGATGACCTCCGGCTGTGCTGATTTCTGGGCCTTTCCAAGCTGTCCTAGCTTTCTTTAACTTCGTGATGAACGACCCACTGATGACGGAGTAGTCGGCTCCAGTATCGACGAGAGCGGTCATACTGTGGCCGTCGATAATAACGTTGAGGTCACTAGTTCGCCATCTCGCATTATACTTAGGGTGTGGCATCGGGTCACGGCTGCGTCGGCTTGTTCCGCTGCTTCCATGTTGCGTCGTCAGGTCACCTTCGGTAAGTGAGGTTTTGCCGTCAGGGCTTTGCCTGCTTGGCGTTGTGTTTGTAAAGCTCCGTTGCGACGTTGTCGACGTCGTCGGATCTTCGGTAATTCGTCGAACAGCAACCATACCTCCATCGGTTGCTGCCCTTAGTTTCCCGGATACGGGCTGAGAGACCGGCCCCGCGTTGGGCCAGAGTACTGCCGGTGGTGCGGTGACATGCGGCGGCTGGGCGACGGCAAACGGGAAGGGCTTCGTGGTGTCCACTGAGTTCCTGTCAGGTAGTCGGCGATGTCACTTGGCTGTTCTCCTGGCTCTGGACGCGGTGCATTTACGGCGAAGCCACGCAGTCCAATCTGTTGGTACTGGCAACGGCGGTATTTGTGTCCGGCCTCGCTGCAGAGGTAGCCGAGCGGGCGGTGGTCAGGGGTGTGCCAGACGTCAGTCTTTCTCGGCGCACTGCGCTGGGCCGCTGGCGAACCGTAGGACGTCGGTGGGGGTGGTGGCGGCCGTGGCGTCTGGCGCTGCAAGTGCTATGGGACAGTGTTTTGGCGTGCGCGTGGAGGAGGGGCGTAGCGGCGGGCTGCAGCAGCATAGCTCATGGCTTGCAGCTGAGGCTCTTGAGGCTGAGAATCGCCTAGCGATTGCTGGATCTCCTGGCGCACGACGTCTGCGATGGATTCCACGTGAGGCTGCGCTGAAGGAAGTAATTTTCGCAGCTCCTCTTGCACGATTGCTCGGATTGTCTCATGCAACTCAGTGGTTCCTAGCGCTTGAATGCCTGCGTAGCTTGCAGCGAGAAGCTACAGTTATATTACCACGTGCGCATTTCGAGCGTCTTCTATATCGTAGATGCTTCTGAAATGAATTCGGCGACCGTTTTTGGTGGGTTTCTGATCAGCCCAGATAAGAATTCCTGCTTTACTCCTCGCATGAGCAGACGAACCTTCTTCTCATCGGACATGTCGGAGTCAGCGTGGCGGAAGAGTTTAATCATATCTTCCGTGAATAGCGCCTCGTTTTAATTTGGCATCTGCATGCGGGTTTCGAGGAGAGCTGCGGCCTTCTCCTTGTGCACCACACTTGCGAAAGTGGTGAGGAACCTGGCGCGAAAGACAGTCCCAGGTTGTAAGTCTTCGCTCTTGATTCTCGAACCAGGTCCGAGCAGCATCTTCTAAAGCGAAATACACATGCCGGAGCTTGTCATCGTCTGTCCAGTCATTGAAGGCGGCGACGCCGTCGAACCTTTCGATCCAGCTTTCCGGGTCTTCCAGTGGCGAACCGCGGAAAGTTCGCGGCTCTTTAGGTTGCCGGAGCAGAAGTGGTGCAGGCTGCACGGGAGCGGTCGTGGTTGCAGTAGTTGATGTCGGGATCCGGGTCTGCCTGACTGCTTCAGGAAGGGGCCCGTACTCTGGTTGTAGTCCCCTTTGCTTGCGACTTGTTCACTATTCAGGTTTGGCGTCCGTGTCTTCTTTGCCCTTTGGGCTGGGGTCGCGGCTTGACGGGGGCGTCCGGAACATCAATGAAGCAGCACCTCCACCAGATGTCACGATATCGTGACGTGGTCGAAGACTGGAGACTTTGCGTTAGAATTTAACTGTTTATTTGGGCGAACCTGTGCCCGGTAAACGAAAAGTCCGATTACATTAGCAATCTTGGACTGATAGCGGCGAACTGAGCTTCGGCCGTCGATGAACTACTGACAAGCGGCGAAGTGCGTCGGCATTCATACTCTTGCCATCGAATGTTCTAGCGTTATCCCTGGCGGTAGCGTAGGTTCCAGAATAACCTGTACAGCTCGAAGAGTGGGCGTGATCTTATCGAAGTGATCTACTACAGTCCAGAAACTTCTCGAAAACTGCAGGCGCGGTTTGCGCGGAGAATTGTGTATGTTTTGGGACTATAACAAAACTTAGGAAATGAAACGTGGCAATACTGCCGAACCAGAAGAACTGACTCCTTCACACGTTTTTTCAGGTAGACGCCTCACGGCCTTTCCACAAGCACAAGTTAGCGATAACTTGGGAGGCCGCACAGAGACGCTGCGCGCCTGGAGACGTAGTCAACAAAAACTAACTGACTTTTGGCAACGCTTCTATAAACAATAGCTGCTGACACTAAAAAGCACCCACAGCAGGTCTCACAAGCTAAGAAACACTTTACAGTGCGGTGACATTGCCATGATTAGAGATAACAAAGAGTCAGTAATGTTTTGAAAATTAGCCAGAGTTTTTCAAACCTTCAAGAGTAATGATGGGCTCGGCCGAACATACAAAGTCAAACTAGCAAACAGTACGCATCTTCTCTGTCCTCTGGAACTGAGCAGATGATATTGTTGGCCGCGAAGGATGTTGGAAATCGGGCTCACGCGGGGCGGGAAAGATGACGACGAAGAAAGAAGTGAACGTGATTCGATCACTATGTTTGTATGGCTCCGTACTCGGTGCCAATAAACCCAGCAGAAGTATCTTTTGCATACACGCCGCCCCACGGATATCTACATAACTGAACAATAAATTATTTCATATAATTTCCATCATGAGGCACTGCATGAGGTGCTACTCTCTCCCATGACCGCAAAGCCCACCCGAAGACAAGGCGCTGGGAGCGATTGGGAAAGGGCTAAAGAAAATGGTGGTGAACAGCTTGATCAGGCGCATCTGGCTGGCATTAATTAAATTTAGGAGGCATTGTCTGACCAAAGCACTGGAACAGAGGCTACAAAGTTCGTCGCAGCGAAATGCGGTTGCAGAACACACTTGCCGGCATGTGTACTTTGAACCCAGCGACACTTAACTTTTTCGTGTGACAATGTGCAAGTGACACTCTCGGCAAAGTGTGCCCGCTCAAAGTGCACTGAAATTATGCCCTTGTATGACATTTATGCCCATGTATGCCCATGTATGTCCAATTATGCCCATATATGTTATGCCCATGTATGACAGCGGCATAACACGAAAATGAAACGTCTCTTTACAGGGGTAGTTGGACGTTTATTGTGCATTGTTTCAGTAACAGCAACAAATTTCGAAGTCACGTTAGGAACAGCACGCAGCTCAAAACTTGCAGCGCACACCCCAAGCAGAAAGCACACACGAAAATAGCGTACACATGACAAGCGTGGACTTGCCACAATTTTTACGGCGTAGTGTGTTGGCAGCACGCTACTTTCTTGAACGCGGCTGTGGCCGCGTGCAAAGTGACCTTTGTCATCTCTCGAATTACGAGATAAGCGGCGCGCGGGTGAGACCGCGCTCCACAGGTTCATGGGGGCGGGGCTTCGTGGAGGCGGCGAACTTAAGGGCACGTGGAATGTGAGAACTTCGTGCTAGCTCGCCACTGATAACGAGAACACGCTAAAGTTTTGAAGCTCTGAGGGCTGCCAAATGGCGTGTGGTGTATATAAATGGCTTGCCGTTTGCACTCCCACGAACGTGGCTTTGTGGCGTAGTGGTTAGCGCCGCGTGCTGAGATTCATGAAGGTGATCGTTAGAGTTTTTGCGACAAATGTTTCTATTCTCATTTTTTGTTAGCAACTTCTTACTATCGCTAATATGTCAGCCACGTAGCAATACTTTTTACCATCACTTTCATGACAGAAGTCTTCAACAGAGGTTTTTCGTGTGACAAAGGTACGTCAGCGGAGCCTGGTTGAACCCGGGCATAAAACACTTTTTTGTTAAAGAAACACATGAGTAGGCACCAGTGCCGGCTGCGAGCGCCTTCCCCATGCATAGCCCCTTCACCAGTTCATGCCCAGTATCGAGACAAGCAAGTTTATATAACCGCAAGTTTAGTGACCATCTACGTACGTTTTCATAGTGCGCAGTTCATGAGGTTAAATATGTGTATTTCCTCTAATGATGACAAAAAGCCAATAACAGAATGAAAGTGTTTGAACTTTCATTCGCGACTGCGACGTCTCGCAATGAAAAAAATGCGCTTGTGAAGAAATGCGTGAAACAGCTGAACATATTATGCAAAAATGATGGTAAGATAACATGCATATACGTTTGGTAGTTTTAGTTAGCGAATGTTTTTTTGTTGCTATCATTACTGAACACTTTTCAAGAATAATAAACCTAACAATAGCGTCAACATACTACTACGCAATGGCAACAAAGACAAAAAGCCGACCAGTGCGAGATTCCTGAAGGTGCCCTTTCAGAGGTTCTGCTTTTGTACTGCTTTTTTCACTGTCTTCAGTTGGTTTCTACCGGCCTTTGCCACGATCAACTGTCGTCTTCGCGAATACAGGTCGCGTCACTTGTGTTTACGCTAATACGCATAAACTCTGTTTGGTTAGTTGAGATAACCACGCATTTGATTTACCTATGCGTGAAGAGATGTCGTTTTCGTTTCTCTTTTCATTCTACCTCGTCGCAAGAATTCTTCGGAATGCAGAGCATTGGGACACGTCTTCAAAACGAGGGGCTTCGGGCCACATGCCTCTACATGCGTTCACGGCGTTATCGCATTTCTCCGGAACAGCAACACATTTACCAGAATAAAAACCGTAGGGGCAATTGTAATATCAGCAGCCGGAAAATAAGGTAAGAATTGCTTGCTGTGATTCAACAGTACGTTGAGGGCTACACATTTCCTCTGAGTGCTATTTATGATGCATTGCACACAACCTGCTTGTAAAGCTTTCTTTCATTCGATACGACATTTGTACGCTACTGCCCTTCGTTAAAACAACGGGAGTGAATGTCTTTAGAAACAGTGTGTTATAGCTACTGTATTATGTCAAGGGTGTCATGCTGAACAAGTTATCATGTTGTGTGAAGCCCGATCTCCCAATAGGCTGGTGCGCAAGTGGGCCCAGCCGGTGCTATCATATTACAACTACCAGCTCGTTCCAAATGGACAGAACTGCATTCGGAATGCACTGGGTTCAGTGGTCATGAGAAAGTGGCACCAAGGGTACGATCTTGTCCATCTGCTAAACGTTTTGGGCATGCTTAGGCCTTGCTCTTTCTGGCGCTGGCGATGAGCGCGGACGCCTTCTCGACGTCCGCATCCGTCAAGAACGGAGCATCCGGAATGCCAATGTTGTCATTCACATAGAAGAAGTCGGGTGCGTTCTGGCACGGCACAGCTTCCTCCGGGAATGCGCACGTCAGGCTCAGCTGGTTGAACACTGCGTCACAAAAGGTTAGGCTTGATTAGGAGAGGGCACTCATTTTACAGCACCGGGGCAGGGCGAGCAGACAGGACAGTTGTGTGTCGACGGGTGTAGGTCACGCGTAGGTGTCGACGTTGTTCGTCTCAACACTTTGTCATCGCTCGTCACAAGAGGTGGAGTGACCAGCGCTATAGTTACAAGGGAACCTTGAGGTGCCTCCTGTTTTTAATTAGTCATGGCGGCCGTCTGTGAAACGCTACTTTAGGGTGGCATCAAGACGTCTATTTCTTTAGAGTCCGAGATGAAAACGCGAGAAGCGCGTGCATAAGGTATAGCAGGAGAGCGTGCGAGCGCGTGTATGTGTTTTAGAGGCCTAGGTGTTTCTTTTGTTGTTGTTGTTGTTGTTGTTGTTGTTGTTGTTGTTGTTTTGCCTATAGAAGCAGAACTATTGGGGCTGGAGATATACAGATTTAATAGCGGAAAAAAAGAAAACGCTGAACGCATGTTTCTCACGCATTTACGAAGACAGCTACATCGAGGTCAATTGTCGCGCAACGTGAGGAAGGGAGGCGAGCATGTCACGTGCCAGTGCTCGTACAATGAGAAGGGCAGTGTACTATCGAGTGATCGAAGGAGTTCATGCGTACATGATATTGCTGCTATATAGGACAACGCCTTTGAAGCCCTTAGATGCATTCATTCGAACATCGTACTAAGCGAATTAAGGCCTACCATTCGGGATCTCCACAAAACGACTCGAAGCCCTCTGAATACACAATCATTATGCATGCACCAGTGTTCACTTCTCAACGCGAAAAGCTTACCTCAACCACTCTGGAGCGAAAATTACTGTGCCGTGTCCTCGGATCGTCCTCAGTATGTGGGAGAACTGGCGTCTATGGATAAGCTGTTACGTGAAAAGATTCTAAAAGCCGCTATCCCAAAACACATAAGCCCACAATTACACAAAGGTCGTAGAAAAGCACGACCTCGCAAGTCATAGCGGATATTTGAGAACAATCCGGACAGAGTGTACACAGATGTCACCCGATGTGGCACGAAAAAGTACGTGCTCGCGGTCGTTGTAGGGGCCCCGGTTCAAGGCCTTCTGACTTGCGCCACAGCTGGAGCTCCGCCAATGAATACCACTGAAGTCTTAGTCATAATACTTGCTATTAAAAATAAGAATATCCTAGGACCATCCTCCCTTATTCTCATTGATTCTATGGTGACATGTAGACTCTTTCGCATCGGAAGACTACCACATAACACCATTCGCCTATTAGGACAGGACGTAACGCAGAACCGTGCTATCATCTGGTACTCGGGTCACTCAGGACATGATGGCAAGGAGGGAGTTCGTGCTTTTAACTATTGAACGGCCAACCACACTGATGACAGCTCCTTCTCACCGCAAGACATCCTTGAGCAGCAACGAAAGGACGGTGTACGACACCCTGCTCTAACCGGCCAGAACTCTTATGATTGGTGTCATATAAAAACGAACACATATCCGAAGGAAGGAAAAAACTTATAGTGCGAGTGAGTTTAGGTTTTTTACGCACCCTACCAGCACACTGCCGTCGCATTGCACGTACGTGTCGAGACCAGGCCGGGCCCTAGCACTAGTACCCCTATTCATAGAGTGAAGCTTTGAGTGCACATCCTGAGACACAAGGGGGGCCTCCCATTTCTCCTATGTGCTGATGGCGGGCGAGTATTGGCAGGGCAGCCAAAGAGGATGTGGTTTAGGGTGGCGGGCGACTCACCAGAAGGTGCCCCCCGAAAAATGGGACGGAAGACAACGTAATAATTGGGAAGAGTTCTCGTCTGACGTCGCCTCCACATGATTTGTTGCGAGTGAGAAAAGCGAGGGCGAGGAGGAGCGTAGAGACGATGGCAAAGGTGTGTTTGTTGGGTAAGTTCACGAATTGTGTGTGCCCTCTCTCTCGAAAAATCCCGGCTGGGATCGCCATTGGCCCGGATAATAGGTTCTCAGGCTATGTTATCGGCGGCCTCATTTCCGGGGTTGCCAGAGTGAGCTGGCACCCACACGTGTTCTATAAGCCTATTGGAGTGTATGGTACACAGCTCAATATTTGCCACGCAGGAGGATGGACTCCACCACGGGCAAACATAAAAATTGCTGCTTTGGAATCAAGAAGCACAAAAATCGCGTTGGTTTTGGTGATTGCTGACGCTATAGTAGCGTTCTCTGCTTCCTTTGAGGAAGATCTTTTGTTTGAGACATGCATTTCATCGCGTGATGTACAGCAATAGCTATCCTTGGTAGGAAGGCAGGTTCGCTCTCGCCCATATAACGTGCAATTCTCCGAAAAGGCCAATTGAAATTAGCTCACCGCGAATAGCTGACCTAATTTTCGGAAGAGAGCAGTGGGAGAGTATGGTCTCCATCGAGGATCTGGGCGGTGCCACTAGCACTCCTCGACCAAGTGCAGCGGGCCGCTCAAGCCAGTGGAGCCCCGGAAAAAGCGCTGCACCCACACGCTCCCCGACTTTTTTTCTGTTTTTTTTCAATAAATGTTATATTATATGCTTTCCAGACGCCGTTGCCTGCCATGCATTAACGAGAACTTGATTGTTATGCCACAGTTTTTTGTAATTTCCCACGCCGTCACTGCAGCAAACCAGATTAACACTAGTTGTTGCTAGCAAAGTCAATCACCAATTGTTTTGTCCATCAGGTATGCTGACCTGCGACACGCGAGGCGTGTTACCGGCCGAAACTAAGAGCGGTTTCGCCCCAGAGTTCTGATTGCTAGCTGGTTGTCGGCTGTTCGTTTCATAACGATGCTGCCACCAGGCGGGTTTACTTGAAACCAATCTGCAATAGAGATTTCCGAATCAGAGAAAAATATTAACAATCGTCTGCGAAGCCAGCAGGATGCCACCCGCAATTGAAACACGTGGAATGTCGAGATTTACGGAATGCTCATTTTAAGTAATATGCGTACGTCTGCTGTCAGTGCACAATATTCTTAATTTAATAGATCGTGCTGTACGTCTTGCTCATTATAACAATGCTGGAACAAAGCTAAAAACATGAAAACCGCAAAGGGAAAATACTGACGAACGCTCAACTGGAAAGGACGAAAACTTCCACGCATGCGCATTCGCGGAAGTTTACTTCCTACCTAGCCTTGCTCACAATAAACGGTTGGTACATTGGGGCTCCTCCATCTCTTCCCTCTGCCGTTTTCATGTTCTTGGCTTTGTATCAAAATTGATGCGTTCAGAAAAGGAAAGCACTAACTTGCCCAAGAACACGTTCTTCCTTCAGTACGTTTTAGGTTGTCTGAGATACGCTGTTGCTGCAAACTTGAAACTTGTTGCTTAGGCAAGTTTCATGTCGGAGAGAATTTTATGTCAAAACTGAAGGGCTGGAGGTATTTTTCGAGTGAGCACACATAAATGCTCACCTATTATATTAGTTGAAAGAGCAAAAGAGCAGGCGTTAGGTCGAGAAGCTTTAGCTTGCCGCCCAACAGGCTTTCACGCTAATGCTCAACAAGATAAGTGAGTACGACATTACGAATCTACTCACTCGTCTGGTTTCCGCAAAAGAAGCTGAACTGCTGGATTTCAGTTTTGCCGTCAGGGTACGTGACAACGTTGCACACGTGGAAGATGAGGCACTCATTTTCCACGTCGGCGAAGTAGCCGTTTTTCGCCGGACACTCGAAGGTCGTCTTGATGCTCCCCACAATGAGCTCTGCACCATCCGGGAGATCGTAGGCCTCCCGCTTACTCTGCAGCAAAGCAAAACATGTTGTTTTATTTGCTGAGTGCACCATGATAATTCAGCGACGCAGTTCATATATGAAAGAAGCATGACACAGACGAAGTAATCAACTCGCTCGAGCTACAACACTTCTGAATAAACGGAACTGAATCCAGAGACATGAATACTAAGAACAGTTGGTGCAGCGGGGCATCAGTGGCGCATAGATTGCGGAAACAATGATGGCCTTTCTATGCATCTCACTCTCTGTTGGCTGTTCCAGCCCGTTGCTACGATACATGGTTTCTCAAAGTGGGATCCACAGGACCCTCCTCGTGGTTCCACGAGCCACTGATCAACTTTGCCTGGTTCCACCCTCGCAAAGTCATTTAGATGGCACACCCTAGGTGCGACCTATTGAACGAGCCTCCAGTACTTCTGGCCATTACCTGTTGCAAAGCAAGAGATTTCAGTAGCAAGTCAGTCAATACTATTTTTGTACACTGTCAATTTTGTATACCCTTGCCGTGAATGTATCTTGAGCTGAATAAAAGATGCTTGCATGAAAGCATGCGGGGATGGTTCCTTGGCACCAGTGTAGGGGAATGGGCACCTCTATTTTATTCCAGTCCCATCGAGGATAATTAAAATTTACCCCATTCTGTTCCATCCAGTTCCTCGACATGAACAAAACTTTGCCCTTACCCACAGTGAAAGGGGCCGTGCATTCGCATTCCATTCCTGTGATTCCTCAATGTAGAAAAAACTTTTTAAATGCTTTATAGAGTTAAGAATAAACGGTCCAGTTCCACTAAGAACTACGAAAGTATGCATGCAAGTCAACAAGACCAAATAACAGTAGCTAGGGGACATACCTCGTGCAGTTTCAGGCTAAGGCTCTCTGTGTCTAAACAGGGAGAGACAATATTGCAAAAAGTTGGGGTGGAGCGGAGTATGAACTAAGACGGTGTGAAAGCTGGTAGGCTTTCAGTGAACATAAGCATCGCGCCAGCGCCATTACGCATCATAATTTACGGAAGCGCTTTTTTAATGTGCGTCCGAGAGCCGAGCAGGATTTCAACCAAGAAGGACGCTTGTTTGCACTCTGATACTTATCCTTATCCTCGCTCCGCACTTTTTGCACGCAGCCCTTCTAAGGGCTTATAACGGGGCCTCTGAGAGGCAACTGAAAAAAAAGCCGCAGCAGTACGCCGTCGTAGCAGCCTGGGTATCAACATCGGTGCCAACCCAGTGCTGGCTTCGAATGTGCAGCAGGCGCATTCCAAGCCTGCACGTTCCAAAAAGAAAACAGAGCTACAGAGGACAGCGGAGTGGTTCTTAAGAGAAAGGAAGAGAAAATTGAGCCCCGTTATTGTCTGCTTCAGTGAGCGACACCGCCACAGAGCTCACAAAGGGATGACGGTAAGGAGGGATAAAAGGGTAGAGGTAAGGGTATAGGAAAGAGGAAGAAGAAGCAACAGCAAACTGAGGGGATAGGAGAGACAGGAAAGATGGAAGAACGGTCACTGGAGTCCGAGGACGGGGTACACTTGCGAGAGATGTTGTCGGCGTCTGTAGATGGCGTAGAGCAGGTCCAGTAGGTCAGAGCTGCGCTGTCACCGAAGACAGCCGGCGACAGGAGGTGACGCAGCCATCATACTGCCACGCTCTCCCTGGTGTTGATCGAAGCGGTTTCCTCGTCTCCTGCCACGGCTGTGGCTAATTCCTGCAACGGTTACCCTCCTAGCAGCACCACATCTCACCTCTCCCACACCGCGGTGGCCGAGCAATCGGTGCCCACCGCCAGTAAGCGCGTGCTTCCAAGCACACCTCCGCGCTCCGATGGTCCCCACTTGGTTGGCGACCTACCTTCGATTGACCGCGCGGCTACCATCATCGATCGGCCGTTGGGAAGAAGGCCAACTTTCTGGTTACGTCGAGGGGTGTGATGGCCGCCTTCTTCTCGGGGCTTCTAGCCACCCAGCGTGTGCGAGTGAATTTCAGGCGCAACCTGGTTGCGGTTGATAACCACCCCATCACCAATCTGACCACCCTACTTCACGTCGGGATGATCTGCGAGACCAAAGTTTGGGCCAAGCTACTGAATCTGAACACCTGAGTTGGCGTGGTTTTCGGCGTGGACCAGACGATGCCCTTCGAGGACCTCGTCTACAATATAGCATCAGCCATGCCACTAGTGTCCAGGGCCCGCAGATGCAACTGCCTCACCGTCACCTTTGCGGGGACCACCACCCCCCTAGTTTATACTGCTTTAAAGCAAATGCGTCCTGTTCCTCCTCGCCAGCCCCGGCCCATGAAGTGCTCCCAACGCGGCCACTTCGGGCACGCAACCGCAATCTCCTGGCGAGACGAACGGTGCCTGCACTGGGGTATCAAGCACGTCACAGGATTGTGTGCAGCACAATAACCTCGCTGCATAAACTGTCGCGGGAAACATCCCGCAACCGAGCCACGCTGCCCGTCCTGACAACTCGAGTGCAAGGCCGCGGTCATCGCGGCCTCAACTGACGGCACCATGACTCGCCGTCAACCCCTGGAACATGCTAGGGCCCCTGGCAGCAACCTCACCATCCTCAACGGACGCTCCATCCGAGATGCGCTCGCTGGTACCAGCGGCATGATTTCTAAGGCCTCCCCTCGTCCTACAACTACTGCACCACAACGATGGCCTCAGCCGGCCCCTGCCACATCTCAGACGGCCCCTGCCGTCGTCACTAAGCGTTCGAGATCGCAAACACTGCGCGCTTTTAAAGACTTTCTTGGCGACCTTCAACGCAAAAGTTTTGGTCTGCTTGTCTGTCTGTCTGTCTGTCTGTCTGTCTGTCTGTCTGTCTGTGTACACTTAACGGCATTGGGTTTTTGAAACGGCGAACCTCATCCGCAGTGCCCACCGTTGTTGCTCAAGAATTAGCATTCATGCTTGTGTAATTGTCAATTACAAAGCTAATATTGCGCATGTCTGGGGCACTATCACAACGCGAATATATTCTGCATGTGCGTCTTTTACTAGAAAAGGCATATATAAGTAATCTTAAGAACCGTAGCGCTTATCATGCTGCACTGACCATGCAATGCTTGCACGGAAAGGCGAGTGTTTCCAACGCTTTGCTAAGACGAGACGGTGGTGGCACTGACCCGTAGCCTTGCGTTCTACACCTTATCACCTCTGATATGGGCACGCACACAAGTCTTAGAGCCACGCGCTTTGTTTTCTAAGACAATTGCCAGATGACACTTATGTCTCACGTGTGACGTGACTTGATGCGCTCGTTCGCCTCCACTGCACGCTCGAGGCACTCTAACACAGCGCCTCCAGAATACCATTCGCCGATTTTCTTGCGCAGAACATAAAATGAATTGTTCACTCTCTCCACACGCAAGACAATCGTCTTTCGACGACGTTTGAAGATTAAATTCAGATACGCCGCCGGTTCCTGGCGCCGTCCCCAAGATCGCGACAACGACACCACCCGCTTCATCGACGCTGCCGGCGCCTGCCGGCGCCTGTCGGCCACTCCTCGGCCTCCACAATACACTTGCTAATCGAGTTACTTCGATCTGTTATCGCGATGCTCCCTGTAGACTGTCTGGAGCGAAAATTTTGTGCAGTAGTCTTGGTTTACGCCCCGGAAACGGTGCGACCATCGGGGATAACTAGACTTTATAAGTGAGTCTGAAGGTCCTCCCTCTTTTTGTCCACGTTGAATCGTGCGCACCACTGTACGTGCCCCCAGCTTTCTCGATGGTCTTCTTGGTCGACTAACGTGTTGCGTGCGTGTTTTTTCGCGTGCGTGCGTGGGGTGGATTGAGTGCTATTCTTTTTTTTCTCTTCTCATTAGTTTTGCTTACCTATCTGTTTTTATTCACACTACCCCATCTCCTGTGCTGACCTGTTCAGGTGTCATCAAAATGATAGACAGTTACGGGAGGCACTTTTTGCTTCTTTTCTTCTTCTTATTCACTTAGAGGGAATGTGCGTCTGCGTTGTCGATAGCACCACTGGCAAAAACCAGGAGCGTGCTAATATTGAAATTTCGAATATGTTAGGGGCGAGGCTTCTCTTAGTCTAACCTTGTCCTGTGTCAAGCGTAACCAACAATGTCAGACAAACAGACAAACAGTAGAACGAATGGACGCACAGACAAGTGGATGGGCGGATAGACGAACGAACGGATGCACGGACAAGGACAAACGCATGGACAAACGCACGGACAGACGGCTGGACAAACAGACAGACAACAGAAAGACAGACGGACGGACACACAGACCGGCAAACAGACAGACAGAAGGACAGTCGGATAGACAGACAGGCCAACAGACAGGCGGACACACAGACTGAGCGACACACAGACAGACGAACCGACAGAGAGACAGACGGACACGCAAACGACAGACAGACGGAGAGATGAACAGACAGAACGAGAAACAGATAGACGGACAGACGGACAAACACAGACAGACAGACACACAGGCAGACGAACAGATGGACAGACGAAGAGACAAAAATGTACAAATAGGTGGACAGATAGACAGATAGACGGCCAGATGGATGGACAGTCAGACAGACAAACTGACGGACAGACAGGCAGACACGCGGATGTGCATATGGACAGAAAGACTGACAGACAGACAGATGGACGGACATTTTGCCCTACTCATCATCAGTGACTCTATAGATATGCTGTTATTTTTAAATAATGTTTGCTATTTGATTTGATTCGCAGTGGAATTTCTCTAGTAGAACGTCCCAAAGAGAATTACTGTCCATGTTCACTTGTCTGTCGCCCCTTCACAATTTCAATGCTTCACTTCGTTACCATACCGTAATAAAGCAAAGGTGCCTTTTAGACTCTGCGGCGGTCACAAATGTATTGACTCAAGAAAACGCTGGTTACCAGATGGAGATGATAAATGCGCCAAAGCAGGGGGGTCTCTAATTTCGTTTCAAAGATTAGAATAGGGCAAAAGGCCCACGGGCACACAATCCTTCTAGCACGCGGAATTACA